CCCCGCTCCCAGCTCCCAGCTCCTCTGTCACTTCCTGATTCCGGCTTCCTGCTTCCCAGAGGCCGGGATCCGGAGCCGCCCGAGGCCGGTGCCGCAGCCCCCGGCGCCCCCGGTGAGCGCGGCGGGGCCGGGGCGAGGGGCTGGGCGGGGCAGCGGGGGCTTGAAGGGCGATCGCGGGTCCGAGGTGCCCTCCCCTCCACTGCACCCCACTTAGTCCCAACTCCCCTTGGCCGCCCGCCGCTCCTCTCCTGGACCTGGGCCCCTGGAAGCTGGACTCTTGGTTCAGTGTGGATCCTGCCCCGAGGCAGCTCTGGGATGCTCGGAGACAGGCAGCTGCGTCCCGACCCCCGCCCGGCCATGCCAGCGCCCCTGGGCCAGGCGGGGGCTCTCTGCAGCTCCCTGCACGTTCTCTGGGACTCAGAGCTGGGGCCTACCTCGGCCCCACCATGGGGAGACCTTTCCTGCCTCCTTTCTCCTTCCTCTTCGTTACCCAGTCTCCAAATCCCCGAGCAGGAAAGAGGCTGCTCGGAGCTGGCCGGGGACCTGCATAAGAGCTAAGCTTTCTCCAGCTTCCACGCCTCCCACCTCCCGCCCCCCACATACATACCAGAGCCAGGGAGGGGCCTGGGTAGAGTCCTGTAAAGCCCATCGGGACTCACTGTGGCCAGGTTCAGGGCACAGTGAATTTACCCCTGCAGGTCACCACCTGGGGGAGGCAGCCGGGTTCTGCACCTGTGACCTTACTCTGTAACTGGGAAACTGAGACCCAGGCAGGTTACAATGACCATGCTCCCAGTTGCATCCTCCCCACTTCCCTTCAGGCACCCTTGGGACAGTTGCTGGGATGGGCTGACCCGATCCAGGCCTCTCTGTCCTGCAGAGATGTCCTTCCGCAAAGTGGTGCGCCAGAGCAAATTCCGGCATGTGTTCGGGCAGCCGGTCAAGAATGACCAGTGCTATGAAGACATTCGAGTGTCCCGTGTTACCTGGGACAGCACCTTCTGTGCAGTCAACCCCAAGTTCCTGGCAGTGATTGTGGAGGCCGGTGGCGGAGGTGCCTTCCTGGTGCTCCCCCTAAGCAAGGTGGGCCGCGTTAGGGCTGGAGGAGGGACTGGGGACACCTCGGCCACACTTGCTGTGCCTGTCTGCATACCTGACATCTGTAATGTTGCCCATTTCTCACTGCTGGGCAGGTATCATAGTCCAGATTCACTGTCCAAGAGACATGAGCACAGGGGGCAAAAGTGGTTTATTGCCATGGAGTCAGGGTTAAAGGCAACAAACGTTTCCTGCTCGCCTGGTGGTTGGGGCACAGTCACATCTGGGCCACCTGTGAGCCAGGACAAGTGCACCATTCCCACTCCGTGGAGGCAAAGACTAAGGCTCTAGGAGGGATGGAGGTGAGGTCTTGGGCCCTACCTGACTGTCCTTTCGTGCCCTTAGACAGGCCGCATTGACAAGGCCTACCCAACGGTGTGTGGGCACACAGGACCTGTCCTGGACATTGACTGGTGTCCTCACAACGACGAAGTCATCGCCAGCGGCTCAGAGGACTGCACAGTCATGGTGAGACCAGGGTCGTGGGTGTGGCTAAAGGTGCAAGCAACAAGGGCCGGCAGACAACTCAGCCCAGCGTCCCTGTCTCCACCACAGGTATGGCAGATCCCGGAGAACGGGCTGGCCTCCCCACTGACAGAGCCAGTGGTGGTGCTGGAGGGACACACCAAGCGAGTGGGCATTGTCACCTGGCACCCGACGGCCCGCAATGTGCTGCTGAGTGCAGGTCTGCACTGCCCCTGCCCCATTCCCCACATCCCTCTCCGCACACGTCTCTGAAATGTCCCAACAGCCTCTCCCAGGCCCATCTCACAGATGGGGAAGCTGAGGCCCTCAGAGGTGGAGAGAACCAGGCTGGTCCCGGGGGTTGGGTAAAGTGCGCCTGGTGAGCCAGTGGTCCCCTCCCACCCACCGGGGCCTGAGCTGACGGCCCCCCACCTGCCAGGCTGCGACAATGTGGTACTCATCTGGAATGTGGGCACAGCGGAGGAGCTGTACCGCCTGGATACCCTGCACCCTGACCTCATCTACAATGTCAGCTGGAACCGCAACGGCAGCCTCTTCTGCTCGGCGTGCAAGGACAAGAGCGTGCGCATCATCGACCCCCGCAGGGGCACCCTGGTGGCAGTACGTGGTCCCAGAGGGCAAGGCTGGCTGTGGATAGGCACAGGGGCTTGACTGCGGTGCTGCACTGATCAGCCTGTCCTCCCACAGGAGCGAGAGAAGGCTCACGAGGGGGCCCGGCCCATGCGGGCCATCTTCCTGGCAGATGGCAAGGTGTTCACCACAGGCTTCAGCCGTATGAGTGAGCGGCAGCTGGCACTCTGGGACCCAGTGAGTGGCCGTAGCAAGATTGAGGGGCAGGCTTGAGACTCGGGCCGCACCTGGGCCAGGCGGGCAGGGGTCACCCTGGAGAGGCCTGTGGTTCCCAAGTTCTCTGCCTGGCACTTGAGGCTCTCAGGACCTGAGACCTTGCCCAGCCCCTTCTTTCCTGCCCCCTGCTCGCCCCCTGCCACTGCCTCAGCATCTCTGCCATGTCGTTCCTGCCCGCTGGAAGGCGCATCCCCCTTTGCTTGCCTGGACCTCCCGGCTGCCCATCGAGGCCTGTGCGGGGCTCCCTCCTCCAGCCTCCCCAGCCCTTCCCCAACATACTCTGTCCCAATGTGTCTGCAGGGTGATCTCCAGGGCCCCTTTGAGGCAGGGGCTGGTGCTGCCTGGCACCCTGGGCTCCCCGTGGTGGGAATTTCTCAGCACTTGCTCAGCGGCCTGGGAGTAGTCTCAAGGCCTGGAGGAGGCTGGGGAAGTGGAATCCTGGGAGTAGGGCCTGGTGGGGGACACTGTGTGGCATGTGACTGGCTAAGCTGGTGGGGGGTTTGGGATGGGGGAGGAGGTTCTGCTTGGCCTGACTGCCCCCAATGTACCAGGAAAACCTTGAGGAGCCCATGGCCCTGCAGGAGCTGGACTCGAGCAATGGGGCCCTGCTGCCCTTCTACGACCCCGACACAAGCGTGGTCTACGTCTGCGGCAAGGTGGGGCAGGGCAGGGCTGGCGGGGGCGCGGGAGAGGGATGCTCGAGTGCTGAGCCCCCTCCCCCCGCAGGGCGACTCCAGCATCCGGTACTTTGAGATCACGGACGAGCCCCCCTACGTCCACTTCCTGAACACGTTCACCAGCAAGGAGCCGCAGCGGGGCATGGGCAGCATGCCCAAGAGGGGCCTGGAGGTCAGCAAGTGCGAGATCGCCCGGTAAGAGGGCAACAGAGGCAGCCGTCTGTGGGCGGGGCTAGTCGGGCCCTTGGCTGGGGGTGGGTCTGCCTGGAGGACAGGAGCCAGGCCACAGGCACCCAAGGTGAGAGGTCAGAGGCTGCTCAGGAGCAGAATGCGCCACGGGAGGGCCAGTGGCCAGCCTGTAGGAAAGAGCCCTTTTGGCAGTGAGCAGGGCAGCCTAGGGGAGGGGTCCGAGGGTCTCAGAGGTCAGCCTGTGGGGGGGTGTGGGGTGGGGACCGGAAGTGGAGGGCAGGGGAAGCCCGGAGAACTGGTGGGGATCCCACCGTGGCTCCTCCCCTTTTCGCAGGTTCTACAAACTGCATGAGCGCAAGTGTGAGCCTATTGTCATGACTGTGCCAAGAAAGGTGAGGCCACCCGGTCCCCTCCCACCCGCTCCCTTCTTTAGCAGACCAGCCACACAAAGGTGACAAGGGTGCAACCTGTGAATGGGGCCATGCCAGGTGGGGCAAGTGGGATGAGACAGGGTGAGCTAAGGCCTTGCCCTGGGTGAGCCATAGGACACAGGGGCTCCTCAATTAAGGGGGGAGTGACAGTCCCAGAGGTCTTCCCGAAGGCGGCGGGACTGAACCGGGCCAGGTGGTGCCATCCAGTAGGGGGGGTAGGCCAGGCGAAGGGTGCGGTGGGGCCGTGGAGAGTGGTACAGGGAGTCTGGCTGCAGTAAGAGTCCCACGACGAGGGGACTTGGCCTCGGATACCCAGCCAAGAACCACAGCCAAGATTCCACTCCCCTCCAGCCAGCGGCTGCTGAGTGCTCTGTTCAGATGCCGGGCACATCTAAGGGAGCAGAGCTGGGGACGAGGCTGACGGGGCCTGTCCTGGGAGCTCACCATCCACAGCCCACAAACATGGCCCCCAGAAGCCCACAAAGCCACACAGCAGGCCCCTGTGGCTTACAGGGGAGGGTGGTGACAGGGGCCCTGCTCAGGAAGGCTGGGGCAGGCTTCAGAGGGAACTGCCCAGAAGGGAAGTGAAAGGATAGATCTGAGCATTAGAAAGGTCATTTGGAGCCAGGCCGTGGGAGGATGGGTTGACAGAGCGCAAGCCCGGAGGCCAGGAGAGTGATAAGGAGGTGGCCACCCCAGGTTCAAACGAGAGGACCCTAATGGGGACCCCACCTGGTTCTGACCTCCCTTGCCCCTTGCCAGTCGGACCTCTTCCAGGACGACCTGTACCCTGACACAGCCGGGCCCGAGGCAGCCTTGGAGGCAGAGGAGTGGGTGAGCGGGCGGGACGCCGCCCCCATCCTCATCTCGCTCCGGGAGGCCTATGTGCCCAGCAAGCAGCGCGACCTGAAGGTCAGCCGGCGCAACGTGCTATCCGACAGCCGGCCCTCCGGGGGCCCCACGTCACCTGCCACCACTGCCGACACTGCCCCCAGCAGCAGCCTTGCTGGAGCCGGGGTATGTGCACCCAGCCAGGGGTGGTGTTGGGCAGCCCCAGGTGTTGTCCCCGTCCACTGTGTCTGGACCACTCGCTGCCCGTCTCTAGGCCTCGGGCTTCTGCCTGCCCCTGACCGCCCCAACGTCCCTGCAGGAGGCTGGGAAGCTGGAGGAGGTGGTGCAGGAGCTGCGGGCGCTGAGGGCACTGGTCAAGGCGCAGGGGGAGCGCATCGGCCGCCTGGAGGAGCAGCTCGGCCGCCTGGAGAACGGCGACGCATAGGCCACTGCCCGTGGAGACCACCTCCACCTCTTCCTCTTCCCTCTCACTCAGCTTCTGCAGCACGTCACGCTGGGCGGGTTGCCCGAGGCCTCTGAGGCAGCTCAGGGGCCAGGTCACACTTGACCTCCCCAGGCCCAGGCTGGAGCCACACCTGGCTCTCATTACTGTGGAGGATTTTTGTACCAAGGCAAGCTCGCTTGTCTTCTGAGGGACCATCTCCCCCCCCCCGCCCACCCTCTGCTCCCTCCCCAGAGGAGGTGGGGAGGGATGGGCGCTATATTTTCATTCCAAATAAAATTCTCTTTCTAAAAGCCAGGCTTGGCCTGCTGCTACAGGGGACTGGGGAAAGTCTGGACACCTGGGGACAGATGGCTTTGCAGGACTCAGGCTTGAGAAAGGTCCAGGGGCCATGAGCAGCTCCAAAGACACTGCTGCTCTGAATTCTGTCAGGCAGGGAAACTGAGGCAGACCCTTGGACACATCCAAGGCTGTGTCGTGCTTTGAGCCGGGTGTCCGGTTTCTTTCCTTGAAGGCCTGGTCACAGGACTCGCAGCCCCAGCCTCATCCAGAGAGACCTATGAGGACTTGGCGTGGATCAGGGTGGTCCTAAGAGGCCGAGGCCCTGTCTGGGGTCCTGCGGCACAGAGGAGTGGGTGGGGTGCTGTGGGCAGGAAGCGGAAGCACTGGGTCACCCCTAGCTGCAGTTGAGAGCTGAGAGCTCACTTCTCGCTCAACACAGCCAGAGCTGGAGGTGGGCGCCGGTGCGAAGGGGCCCAGTGGACCGATGGTAAGCGCTGGAGGCCCTGGGTTCTTGGGGTGGGGGCCGCAGGTCAGGGCTGGAATGTCTGGGCCCTGGGAGCTGAGGAAGGATCCCCCTGCTGGGGCCCTGGAGCAGAGATGCGGCCTAGGATGAACGTGCGGCAGACACCAGACCTTCCTCCTCACCTCGGAACTCGGTTCCCTGGGACTCGGGGTATGGCCTCCAGTGCCCTGCCCCAGGCCTGGCACCGCCTTCAAGGCCCCTGGGATAGCCCTCAGTGGCTCCCCTTATGAAAGGGAACTCGCACCCCTGGAGCCGGACAGAGAGCATGGTGGGGGGAGGCTGGGTTGTACCTTAGCACCCCTCCCCCCACGACACCCCCCCACCTAGCTTGTTCCAACCGCAGACTTCCTCTGGCAGCTGCACCCGCCTCCCCCAGCCCCCAGCCCTGCATGTCTGGGGCCCTCAGGGACAGGGAGTAGAACGGAAACCCTGCAGCTGGGGCAGCCCCATGGCTGGGAGGGAGAAGAGGGGCCTCAGGGACCCCCATCTTGGGATCTGGCCAAGGAGGTGAGCAGTGGTCTCTGTGTTAGTCCAGGCCCCACCCTCCCGGCCTTCAGGAGAGCCAGGCAGCGGGCTCCTGCCTTCCGTCCCTGTCCCTGTCCCTGCCCCATGCAGGCAAAGTCTGACCACATTGAACCAGTATTTTTTTTTTTGAGACAGTCTGGCTTTTGTTGCCTGGGCTAGAGTGAGTGCCTAGCCGTGGCATCAGCCTAGCTCACAGCAACCTCAAACTCCTGGACTCAAGCGATCCTCCTGCCTCAGCCTCCCGAGTAGCTGGGACTACAGGCACGAGTCACCATGCCCGGCTAATTTTTTATTTCTATTTTTAGTTGACTTCCTAATTTTTTCTATTTTTAGTAGAGACGGGGTCTCGCTCTTGCTCAGGCTGGTCTCAAACTCCTGAGCTCAGGCGATCCTCCCGCCTCAGCTTCCCAGAGTGCTAGGATTACAGGCGTGCGCCACTGCGCCCGGCCCATTCAACCAGTATTTATTGAGCACCTTCTATGTGCCAGGCAGGTATCGTTTTTGGTGCTTGACCTAAAAAATCCCCATCTTCCTGCAGCTTATTCAGGCTGGGAAGACCAGACAATGATAAACATTTAAAAAACAAAAAGTGAGTAAAACTGTCTCCTGTGGTCAGGGTCATGGGAGAAGTCCAGCAGGTTGGCGGTGCAGAGTGCCGGGTGGGTGGGCCACAGTGACAACCAGAGTGGTAACAGGTCAGGTTAGGCCTCACTTAGGTGATAACTTGAGCCAAAGTGAGGGGGCACGCATGGGGCCCCAGGGGCTGGGACCTTCTGGGCAGAGGGAAGAGCCAGCCCAAAGGCCCCAGTGCGGCAGGAGGGGGTCGGAGGAGCAGGGGCTGACCTCACAGGGCCAGGGCCTGGTTGCCAAATAAGGACTTGGGCCTTTCTGCTTCACTGTCCGTCTTGCCTAAGAGGACCCACTAAGAGAGGAAAGTCAAGTGTTCTTGGTCACAGGGCCTGCCCTCTACTGGGCCTCCACCCAGGTGACGAGCCCCTGCCCGTCTCCCACAGGCTCTGCCCTGCGCCCTAGGGCTCGGGATGCTGCTGGCCCTGCCAGGGGCCCTGGGCTCCGGTGGTGGCACCGAGGACAGTGGGGGCTCCAGCTCTGTCACGGTCATCCTGTTGCTGCTGCTGCTGTTGCTGCTGGCCACAGGCCTGGCACTGGCCTGGCACCGCCTCAGCCGCGACTCGGGAGGCTACTACCACCCAGCCCGCCTGGGTGCTGCGCTGTGGGGCCGCACCTGCCGCCTGCTCTGGGCCAGCCCCCCGGGCCGCTGGCTTCAGGCCCGGACTGAGCTGGGTTCACCAGACCACGACCCAGAGCGGCAGGAGGACGAGCAGGATATGGAGGACGACTACGTCTCAGACGGTGGGCCGGAGGCTGGACCCAGAGAAGGCAAGCCGCAGTGTGGAGAGGCAGCGGGCCCAGAGCAGGCTGAGGAAACGCCTGACAGTGACACGGAGGGGGGCCCAGGCCTCAGCTCCCTGGGGCCGGCGGGCTCAGGGGGCAGTGCCGAAGCCCTGCTGAGCGACCTACACGCCTTTGCTGGCAGTGCGGCCTGGGACGACAGCGCTGGCGCAGGCGGGGGCCAGGGCCTCCATGTCACCGCACTATAGGAGCCAGTCTTGGTGTCCCATCTCTGTCATGGCCACTCACGGTGCCTCTGCTTCCCAACCTGCCAAGGCTGGCCACAGCCTCCACCCCACATGGCACTTCTCAAACTGTCACCCCTCACCAGTCCCCAAGTCTGTATACTCTACCCCTTCACAGGAAGGCCTCCTGTCCTCACAGGCACTGGGCAGCCATTTGAAATAAAAGCCTCCAGCCCTGCGGTCCCGTGGTCCTGTAGCGACCCCCTCTTCCTAAGCAGGGGCTCCTCCTGGCAGGCCCCCGCCCAGTCCTGCCCCCAGGAGTCCAGCCGCAGAGCCAGGTCAGTGCCATGATTCAATCCTTTAATTCCCCACGGGCACAGATGAACGGAGGTCTGGGGGGCAGCGAGCCCTTGCTCCAGCAGTCGCAGCCTGCAGCCCTCCATAATCATGATTCAGGGGCCCGGCCACCCCAGGAAAGACACACACGTGCACTCGCCCTCCACCCCCAGACACACGCCAGGTCTGTGGAACTGGCCCAGCGTCCTGCTGCCCGCACAGCCTGCGGGGAGGGGCCTCAACAGCTGCCCTCATCCCCACCTACTCTAGCGCCCAGGGCGCGCGCGGCCCCTCTTGGACTTCTTGGTCCCTGAGGGGGGACGGATGGGGAGCGGGGCAGTGCTCGAGGGTGGTGGCGGCGGCGGTGGCGGCAGCAGTGGAGGTAGAGGTGGCTCCATGGGCTCTGGCGGGCCGGGGCTGGGCCGGAACCCCTCAAAGGGGGAGAACTTGAGGGGGCTGCAGGGGAAACCAAGGTAGAGTCAGAGCCTCCTAAGACCTGCCAGGGCCTGCTGGCACTGGGTCAGGGGGGACAGACTCTCCCATCTGCCTGGCTGCACAGGCTGTAGGGTCCACCAAGTCCCATCCAGGCAGTCCTGGCCACAACGTGTAGACAAGGCACCGAAGCTGACACTGGTTAAGAGACTTGGCCAAGGCAGCCCAAGGCTAGAGCTGGCCACCTGCCTGCTAGCGCCCCCTGCCCGCACCACCCGCTGCCCTCCACTCCCTTGGTACCTTATAGGGGTCCGGGGGCTGCTGTTGAGGCGCCGGGGGGAGCGCAGCTTGGGCTGGAAAGAGAAGCCCTCCTTGATGCTGTCCAGAACGGAGGGCGCCACGTACGTGAAGCCCTGGGGGGAGAGGGGGGCCGGGTGATGCTCAGTGTCTGCCACTCTCTGGCCATAACCCCTGCCCTGGTCCTCGTAAGCCCCAGGTCCCCATGCCCTCACCAGGAAGGCCTGGTTGGCGCTCTCACTGAGGGCCGTGTCATCCGGACTGTCCACTGGCGTCTGCCGTGTGAAGCGGGTATCAAACTGGCTCACGTCCTCCTCTGAGTGCTGCGGGCGGACCCGAGTGGGGAGCGGTCAGGGGCATCCGAGATGTGGGTCCTCTACCCACCACTGGGCCAATGGGACTGCCACTCACCAGACAGGGCCTGAAAGGGGGGTCCACACGGCGGGCCAGGAGGTCATCCCAATTCACGTGCCGGAAGAAGGGGTGTCTCTGTGGATAGAGGATGCCCCCCAAACCTACCAACAGTTAGCCCTGCTTGGCTCCTTTAGTAACCTGCTCTGCCCTAGGGCCCTGCCCCCTGTACCCGGTCACCCTTGGAGACAGCCCTGCCCCTGGTGGTGGTCCCAGACCCACCTGCACATCAGCAGCATCCCCTGGGCCACCCCCGATCCGCTGGCTGGGATTCCGCTTCAGAAACTGTGGGACCAGGGGCAGAGGATGAGGGCCTGTGGGAGGCATATGTCCCAGGGCCAGCTGGGGCAGGGCAAGGTGAGATGGGGCGGGTGCCTCCGGATACGGCCCCCACCTCCTGATGCCCTCAGGACTTTCAAGGTTTGGTCCAATGAAGCGTCTCCACGAAGCCTTCGCAAAAAGGCCCCTGGTCCCTGGCACTGACCCAGGGTGCTTCAGTGAGGAGCTAGAGCCAACTCCAAACCTGGCCTCCCCCACTACACCTCCAACACTTGCCTCTCTGAAGGCAGAGTGGCCAGCTCATCACGAGCATTCTGCTGATTGGCTCTTAGGCTAGGGACTGGTCCGGGGCAGGCTGGTCTGCGTCAGAGCTGAGGCCTGGGCTTAGAGTCCTGGACCCCGAAGCAAGGGCTCCTTTCACTCCCACAGGCAAACTGCACAGGCAGGGGTGGCACCAGCTTCCCGACAGCTGAGAGGCTCAGGCACGCATGCAGGGTGGCCAGTAGGGCCCGGGAGCAGAGATGGGGGCATGACCCTGGGCAAGAGGGAGCCTCACCTTTTTGACAAGGTCCCGGGCATCTGGGGTGAGGTAGGGGGGCAGCGCCAACTTCCCCTTGATGATCTTATCCATGGTTTTCTTCCGGTTCTCTGCGGTGAAGGGTGGCTGGAGGAGGCAGAAGGTGAGAGGAGCCTTGCAGGCCTCCCGCCAGCCCTGCCCCTGCCCTGGGGGGGTCTCCTTCCACCCCCCGCCCGCCCTCCCCCCAGGGAGGCTGGACTTGCCGATCCAGTGAGCATGTCGTACATCAGGGCCCCCAGGCTCCACCAGTCCACAGCCCGGTTGTGGCCACTGCGCACCAGGATCTCAGGGGCCCTGGGGACCAGGTAGAACTGTCAGTCAGGCTAGGCCTTTTCTGGATGTCCTCCCAACCCCCGGAACAGGTAGGTGTCACTTACATGTACTCAATGGTGCCACAGAAGGTGTGAGTGACAGCACCCTCATGGATCGACTCCTTGCAGAGTCCAAAGTCGGTCAGTTTGATGTGGCCTAAGGAAGAATGTTGGGGGCGGTGGGGCGCCAGGTCAGGGCCCTGGCCCCATCCACGGGGCTCCTCAGTCTCCAGATAGACTGCAGACCCCGTATGTGCAGCTGCACGTGCACGCATGCGCACCCTGGCTGTTGAGCATGATGTTCTCGGGTTTGAGGTCTCGGTAGATGATGCCTTGGGAGTGGAGATGGCCCAGGGCCAGCGTGATCTCAGCCAGGTAGAAGCTGCAGAGACAGAACAGGGTGAAGGTGGGTGTGGGGCAGGGACCAGGCGTCTCCTGTGAGAGTGGCAGGAGTAACACCCACCAGGCTGTGTCTTCTAGGAAGATGCCCTCTCGCTCCAGATGCGTAAAGAGTTCGCCACCTGCAACACAAACACGTCAGCAGCCATGTGCTAGGCCCAAGCCCCTGTGCGCTCTCTGAGTCTTGGTTTCTTCTTGGAAAAAGTGGGGCTTATAATTCCTGCCCTACCTGCCTCACAGAGCTGCCGTGGGGATTCAATTCAATTCAGCAAACATCTACCGACGCCTACTCGGAACCTGGCCCTGTGCTGGGTGAAGCTGGGGACAGGATGAAGAGACCCAGCCATTGCCCTCAGGACGCTCGGTCACTGGGGAGACAGACATGCACACAACTGCTCTAATATGCCAGGCTGCAACAACAGCTCTGAGAGCTTAACCCAAAACATCTCACAGAGGAGCCGAGGGAGACAAAATGAATCCCAACAGAAGAGAAGAGAGAAAGTGAGGTGCAGTGGGGCTTCGAGGGGTGCTGAAATGAAGGGGAGGGAAAGCGGAGCGCAGAGGCAGAAGCTCACAGGGCTCATGTGGTGCGGACGAGGTAGGCAGGAAAAGCAGGCCTGGACCGCTTCAAGGTGAGCAGGGGACAGTGGGCTGAGGTTAGGCTTGATCTGGGCAATCAGAGTCATGGGACTCTGAGCAGAAGTGCTGGGCACAGCCCGTGCTTTAGGATGGCCCCAGCAGTTAGTGGGGGAACAAAGCAGCGAGCAAGAGGCCTCAAGCCCAGTTAGGAAACTGCTGTCCAGCCCCCTCCCTGTCCCCCTGAGAGAGTGGAGGGAATGGAAGACACTGCAGAGAGTGGACTAGCTGGATCTGGGACCTGACTGGATACAGTGCACGCAGGTAAGAGGAACAAGACGTGGAGGGGAGCAGAAACAGACAAACCACCCTCTGGACTTGCGTATAAGCCCGCACCATTCCCATCCATCCCCAACACAGGTGAAGGACATGATAGGCGCTGGACAGATATTTGCTGAATGAATGAATGAATGACGGGATGGATGAACAGACAGACGGGTGGGTGGGGGTGGGAGCCCCCAGCCATCTTCCACAACCCAGTCTCTCAGGGCTTCCCCCAGAGCTCCCAGGGCTTCCTGTGCTGGCTCCCCACCCACACCCCTAGCTGGGCCCACACTCATACCACTGAGGCACTCAAGGATGAGGTAGAGTTTGCCACCAGTCTGGAAGGCATAGGCCAGTTCCACAATGAAGGGGTGCTTCACTGACTCTAGTATATTCCGCTCAGCCCGTGTGTGTGCCGTGTCCTTGGCATTGCGCACAATTTTGGCCTGGGGGTGCAGGAATCAGTTAGAAGGTGCGGTACCCGGAGCTCCTCAGTCCCTCCAGCCATTACCCTCTGCCATCCTCTGTCCCTCCGTATTTCGCCATAATTGTGCTGCTGTCAGCAGTCATCTGTTTGAGGAACCGGTTTATCCTCTACCATGGGGTTTTTCAACTTCAATACTGCAGACACCTTGGACCAGATATTCTGTGGTGGAAGGTTGCCTTGTGCATTGTGGGATGTCCAGCAGCATCCCTGGCCTCCACCCACGGGATGCCAGTAGTACTCCCCTCTCTAGTCCTGACAATCAAAAATGTGTGCGGACATTGTTAACTGTTCCTTGGGAGGCAAAATTGTCCCCATTTGGGAATTAATGCAAAACAATATACATCACAACAGGCAATAAACTAGCAAATGCCAAAGACAAGGACTGTCTTCTTTGTCGTGTTCACTGTTATCTTCCCAAAGCCTGGCACAGCAGCTTGAGAATGACAGCCACTCAGTATTTTTGGCTGAATAAATGACTCACCTTTCTTAAGACTTTCATGGCATATATTTTGCCCAAGTTGGTGCCTTGCACCTTTCGCACCTGGAACACCTGTAGGGCAGGGGAGACAGGATCAACTTCCTCTCCACATTCCATCTTCAAGAAGCCCCACCCTGAAGCTTTGGCATTAGGACCAAGAGACTAAGGCCCCACCAAGGGTGGGGCAGTCACGATTTCAAATCCAATTCAAGAGGATTTACCCTACCCTCCTCTATGTTTCTAGCTCTGAATCTCATTAGAGGCTGTGTAGTCCAGATCTACAAGTCTAATTTGTTTTGAGAACCCTTTGCTGCCTCCAGGCTGGAGGGAGCACCAGTACCTTTCCATAGCCTCCCTTGCCCAACACACGCAGCAGCTCAAAACAGTGGGGCCCAATGCGCTCAGGGCCGAGGTTCACACTGGTCTCAGTCAGCTCCACCTCCTCATAGTGTCCCACAGGCCTGTGGACACAAGAAGTTAATGACGGCAAGGCTCCAGCGCTTCCCAGGTCCCCTTCCCCGTTACATTCCCCCCTCCCCCAACACGACCCTCACTCACTCCAGGCCAGCCGCCCTCAATTCGGCAAGCGAACACACGTCCTGTGAGAAACCGAGGAGTAAGAGTCAAGGGAGGTGCCAGGATACCTTCCCCGTCCCCGCAAGCTGGAATGCTTGGCCCAGGAGAGGAGGTGTTAGGGATGGGAGCTGGCAGGGAATAAGCAAGGGCTGGGGAGAAGAGGCCGAGGGCAGAAGAAAAGAGAGAACCAGGAGAAAGGGCTGGGGGTCTAGAAGAGAAGTCGGGGTGAGGGTGGAGTCAGAGCTTAACAGAGGCTGGGATCTGAGAAGGATCGGGGTCTGCAAGAGTCGGAGCCCACTCTGGGTGGGGGCTGCCGCGACTCCGGTCTCGGCTGAGTGATAGCATCGGCGCCGGGATCCAGTCGCGCCCGGGAAGAGCACTCACCGTGGGGCTGAACTCCGGCTCGCCCTCGCCCTCGCTGCCTTCCTCCGTCTCCAAGTCCAGATCAAACACGGCCGCCATGGAGGCGCCGGCCCCGCGGGCCACTCGGCCCGTAACCCGGCCGCGCTCTGACTGACAGTCCCAGCCTGACCATACGTCATCGCTCTGCGACGGCAGCCGCGCTCGCCTATGACGCAAGGGACTTTGCTCCGGCCTCCGGAAGGCCGCTCAGCCTGCCGGGGAGGAATGATGGCATCGCAAGGCCTTTCGGGATTTGTAGTGCCGGAGTGCCGGGGCGCCCAGCCTCCAGCCTGCGGAACCCCGTTCCGCGGAACCCTCTGTCTTCCCAGCACCACTACCTGGGCGCCTGTTTTGGCTCTGGGAAGAGTTGAGGCATGTTTCTCTCCTTCCTTCCTTCCCTCCCTCCTTCCTTTCTTCCTTCCTTCCTTCCTTCCGTTTCTCCAAAAAGAGAAACTCAAACTAGAGAGTTTGAGTTTAGATGCGGCAGAGTCGGGAGTGTGTACAGGTGTGAATGTAAATGGAATCCCCAGCCCTGTCGGAGTGTCGCGGCCAGGCTGGCTGGGTGACCGGCGGTAGGTCGCGTTCCTCTCTATTCCTCCCTGAAAAGGAGGCGGCTGCTTCGAGTCTCCCTAACGTGTCTCTCAAGGACCTTGCAGGTCAGAGCATTTGCTGGGTGAGCAGCTCACTGCCAGGCTGTTGCCAGGTGCCTGCCGTAAAGGGTTTGGGGCTCATTTATTCGACTGCAAATATGGGCTTTTGCTGGAGTTTGCTCGCTTGTCAATTTAAGAATATTTAGAAATTTAGCAGCCTGATATAGACCCTTAATACAACTTTGTTGTAAGAATGAATGAACCCACCAAACCTGGTCTGTGATTTTTTTTTTTTTTCTTACAGACCCTGGCGCTCTGTTGCCCAGGCTGGAGTGCAGTGGTACAATCAGCTCACTGCAGCCTGGAACTCCTGGGTTCAAGGGATCCTCCTGCCTCAGCCTCCCGAGTAGCTGGGACTACAGGCACGCACCACTATGCCCAGTCTTGATCTATGACTTTAGATTAGGCATGGATTCTTGTTGGGCAGAACTATGTGGGGATAAATTTGGGCCAGACCAGGCACTGAGTATGAGTACTGATTGCTGGAGGCTGTGTAGATATGCATTCCAGTTACACAGGGGAGGCTGGGTGTGAACTCAGATGAACAGAACTTAGAGGTCTCCAGGCAAGTGGAGGGTTATCTGGTTGGATGTGGCCCTCTGGTTGTAATTCCTCCAAAAGACTAAAGGAGATCCTCAGGTTGGGTCCTGGTGTAGGTGTAGGGCAGTCCCCTGCCGAAGCTCAACTCAGATGCCTGGCCAGTGGGGTGGTTTTCCCTTAGCTCCAGATGCTACAGGAGCTACCCACCTCTTCCTCCCCCTCCCTTAACCTCCCATCTAGTTGAGCCTGGGAGGCATTGTCCAGTCGAGAGAACCTGTCCCAGACTCCGGACACTTCACTAGTCCATAAGCCTTTATTTGGGAAGGAATGCTTGGGGAGCTGTCCATAGCTCCTGCGTGCTCAGAGGCAGGGTTCTTAAAGCAGCCTTCCCTGAATTAGGGAGTGTAGACTCTCCTCTGCCAATGCTAGTTAGTGTGCCAGAGACGAAAGCACCAAAGCTGGGTGCAGAAGGGGCATGGTGCATGGGAGAGAGGTATTCACACGTCTCAGGGCCACTTATGAATGAAGGTAGGGAGGTGGGGGTGGCTTAGAAGCTGAGTGGGCATGTAAGACTTAATCAAAACAGAAACCTGGACCTTGCATCATGTCCCACTACCATCCATCCACTGTGGTATGACCTCGGGGCAGTCATTTTTCCTCTCTGAGCCTGTTTCCTCTCATCTGTAGAATGGGGGCAACAGCGTCTGACTGCAGGTGTGAGGGGAGATGATTACTGCTGACGGCAGGTCACCTGCTTCTACTGCTCAGGCCAAATGAGGCAGGTGGGACACTGCTGAAAGTTTTCAGCAGGCTCTAAAACTATCCTGAAATTTGGGTAAAAGAAAGAGAGGGGCTTTAGTCTCAGGTTTTCCTGGGATTTGTCCAAGGCCAGGGGCCCAACCAGGTTCTCTCCTCTGCTAGGTGGCAGGAAGAGAAATGGACCTGGAGGGGTGGGGCAGAGTGGCTGGGTTTGGGCCCACTTCCACGTGCGGAGGTGGTGGTGAAAGTGTGTATACAGCTGCTGTCATTTCTCCAAGGCTAGAGTCCTGGGGAAGCTGTGGGATGAACTGGGACCTTTGGGAGGGCAAGAGGGCCCAGTAGCCCCCAGATACTTGCTTCTGTGGCCTTTGAGCCCAGGAGGCCTTGGTGCCTAAATGGCCCTGCCACTCTGGAACAGATCTGAGGCATTGGCATGGGCCAGACTGGGGCCAGGACAGGGCAATGGGGAGAGAGGCAGGGAGGACACCAGGAAGCAGAGGGCACCACAGCCCTCCCCCAGTGCCTCACCCCTGCCTCCTGGCCCCAATGCTATTTGAAGTGAGACAGGAAGTGGGCAACGGGGTAGTTGGGCCCATCGATGCCCAGGCCCTGGCAGAGGCCCAGCAGGCGGAGGCGGGCCTCAGTGGGGCTGGGCCCAGCACAGGCCACACTGCAGTAGGGCTCCTCATACTCGCCAGGCACCAGAGCCTCCTCCAGCAGGTTGAGGCGCAGCAGGCCCCGGTCGTGCAGGGCCTGAAGGGTCTCGCGGCTGGCAGTGGAACTCAGGGCCTGCAGGTGCTGAGACACGAGGCACATGACACCTACCAGGTGTCCACGGGCTCGTGGGTGGGTGGGCAGTGCTGGCCGCAGGCCACAGGCCACCATAGCAGCAGCTAGCAGCAGGTCCACGCCATAGAGCTCCAGGATCCAGTCACGCAGATAGAAGCCGCCCATGCGGGGGTTGATCTCGATGAGCCGAGGCCCAGCCCCAGTCAGCTTGAGCTCCACATTGAAGACCCCATCAAGCAGCCCGCAGCCCAGGCAACAGCGGAAGGCTGCCTGCACCATCTGTGCCTCCTGCTCCGGTGCCAGCCCGGTGGGCATGCAGGCGGCCGTCTCAGTGAAGCCAGGCAGCCTTGTGGGGCCGTTGTCAGAGACAAAGGCGGCCAGCAGCCGCCCACCAAACAACACCAGGTCCACATCGTGCTCGGTGCCCTCCACAAACTCCATCAGCAGCATTGCATTGCCCCAGCCCAGCCCAATGCCCGGGTGATCGGCCTCACCCTGCAAGTCTCGGGAGATCCTGGAAAAGTGCTCGTGGCACTGCGGCGCATCCTCCACCAGCCGCACTCCCACTGCACCTGCCCCGAACTCCAGCTTCATGACGCCTGGCAGGGGAACCTGGTGGACAGCCCTCGCCACATCAGCCTCGCTCTCCAGTGGGCAGCAGGGCACAGCATGAAGGGAGGGCGCAGGCCAGGGTGGGCCATGGCAGTGCAGCAGGTGCAGCTGGGTGCAGCTCTTCTGCTTGGCCAGGCGCATGGCGGCCGGGGGGCTGCAGGGCAGACCCAGCTCCTGGCAGAGCAGGGCTGTGAGCACCAGGCAGTCATCCCAGTAGGAGAAACAGCCATCCAGTTGCAGGCCGCGCGCCCGCACCAGCTCTGCCAACAGCCGTGCATTCTCTTCATCCCTCTGGTGCTCCGTCAAGTCAAAGTGGATGAAGGTCTGCACCAGCTGGGATGCGAAGTGGTTGGGGTCTGACTCCACCAGGTGCAGCTGCGGAAACCACAGGAGGGCAGCACACCCCGGTCAGCCCGCGCTGAGTGCTGGGGATGTAGGATGAGGTGTGGGATGTGGTCCCGGCCCTCAGGGGGCACGGGTTCACAAACATTAGGTGCTCAACAAATATTTGTTGATGATCAATTGAATAAATGGAAGGTGCAGAGGTGGGACACCTAACCCGGCCTGCGGGGGAGGGATGGAACCCTAGAGGAGCCAACACTTAAGCCAGAGCTGAAGAAGAGTCAGCAGAGGAAAGAGGAGGTCAGGAAGGCCAGCCAGCTGCAGGACGAAGAGGCCGGATCTGGGTAGGTGGGGACGGAGGGCAGAGGGGCAGGTGAGACAGGGCTCAGCGGTCTTTTTTTCGCAGGCAGAATCACTAGCCAGGACTTGTAGACAAACCACCAGAGTTGGGGCTTAGGACAGGTGGTTTGGCTGTCATCCACACCACGGGTTCTGACACTGGAAGGTGCCCTCAAAGCTTACGAGGGTTGGGAGGGTAGCTGTCTGCATTGTAACGCTTGGCATCAGGAGTGGAGTGACATCCTAGCTAGAGAACATGCTGCGCAAGGCAGGAAGCAAAGAGCTGGGGGAACAGCTGCAGAGTGGTGTTCCCCAGGGGATGTTGCACTGTGGGAGAGGGGAGCCAAGGCTACTACTGTAGATTAGAGCCAGCCTGAGAAGGCCTCTGCTCAGTGAGGATAAGATTATCTACCTGCCAGGCTCGCTCCCGATTCCGTAATGTGAGGCTACTGCTGTGAACCTGATTCGGGATCTATAAGCTGCTCCCCAGCACCCTCCGCAGGCCCTAGGTGCGGACTCTCAGGAGGAATGCAACCTCAAACTGCTCGCCCTTTCCCCAGGACGGAGCCAGGCTCCTTAGCCTGTCATTCAAGGCCCCAGCTCTGTCGCTAACCTTGTCCCTCGCCCCCCTCCAGCACATCTGCCCCGGGCTCCTCGTCCCCCACCCTTTCCGTGGGACAAAACTAAAACACCCCAGGGCGTCCGGCCAGTCCCTGCGCATGGGCTTTGGCGCACCCCGCCTGCGCCACGCGCAGGCCCCGCCCCCGCCATTCAGGCTGGGACTTGGGGCCCGGCCCCGTCCCGAGCCCCGCCCACCTTGAGCCCGTAGTCGCGCGCCGCCTCCCACACGAACTTCTTGCTGACGCCGCCCGCGCCGACCACCAGCAGCTGCTTGCCCTCCATGAGGCAGCGGGCCGAGCGCCGGAGCATGGTCTCCACGAGCGGCGCGGCCGCCGCGGCGTCGGCCGCCGGCCCCGGCGCGGCCCACAGCCCCTCGAGCGCGCTGCACGCCTCCAGGCACAGGCCGCCGTTCAGCTCCAGGGCCACGGGGGTCAGCGCGCGGCCGGCCACTGTCAGCGCGAAGTCCACGCCTGGGCCGGGCGGGGGACACGGGCTCAGCGCGGGCGGCCGTCGGCCCTCGGCCCTCGGCCCTTGGCCCCGGCGCCCAGCCCAGGCCGCTCGCACTCACCGAGGAAGTCAGTGTGGGCCCAGCGCCCACCTCGCTGCTCGGCACTCAGGCCGGCCTCCAGGGCCAGCACGGCGGCCAGTGCGGCCTCAGCCGCCGCCTTGATGCGCTGCCGCACGACCGCCACCTGCGTCGCCTCGCCCAGGCCGCACTGGGCCAGCGCCACCTCCAGCGTCCACGGCAGGGAGTTCTGGTGCCGCAGAGGCCTATCCCCGCGGCCCACGCCGCACACGACCTGGGCAGGGTACAGCGCAGGCGGCTGGCCCAGGAGGAGCCACCCACCACATGCATACCTTCCCCTGGGCCAAGATCCAGGCCACACCTCTCACTCAACATTCAAGAAGCCCCATCCTTCAATGTGTCTTAAACCATCCTCTGTCACTGTCCATGTGGGCCCCAGACCCCTCCAGCGGTTCTACCCAAGCTTCCAGGGGCACCTGGGGTCCCTGCTCCTGAAGGCTCCAAGCCTGCTTGCTCTTAGCTCCTGCAGCCCTGAGGCCTGTGCCACCCTGGTGTCCCCTAGCCCTGGCACCTCCCCTGGATGCCTCTCCCCTACTCCACTGGAGTCCCTCCCTCATAGCTTGGCTCAGAGCTGGGTACTTGGAGGGTCCCTATGCCTTCTTGAGCTCTCCAGCTTACAGGCCCCTCCTAAAGGGCTCCAGGCGCTGGAGGTTTATCAGGGACCCTGGGGCAGCCTCTTCTGTGGGCAAGAGCTCCCCGGGAAGAGGATTCAGCCCTCAGCCCTGGTACCCAGCCCGGGGCCGAGCACAGGGGCTCCTGATGAGGGAAGGCTTCTGGAAGGGTTGGAGGAAAGGGAAAAAAGTATCAGACCCAGGAGTTCCCCTAGAGGCAACCAAGATCCCCTGAAAGATTTTGTCCTCTCTGCCCACAGACTGCCCAGGGGCCCTCGTCAGATCAGTGGGACGGGGTGTGGTGGGCAGGTCATGACCTGGACCTGCGCCACACTTACCTTGCTTAGCAGGGGCCTGTCGCCCTGTGTCCGACACACCACAGCACAGATACGCACAGCCAGCTCGGGGCCAGGTGAGGGGCTGCCTGGGGACAGAGGGGAGGTCTAAGCCCAGCACAGAGAAACCAGGAGGCCGTGCCAAGCTCCCTCCCCTGGCTGGCCCAGGTGACTCTCACCTGGGGAGGGCAGCTGGGGAGGTGGGCACACAGCCTCCACCAGCACACTCTCCTCCTCCTCCAGCTTCTCCAGCAGCACCAGCACTGTGTCCACCACTGCGCCCAGCTCTGCCCTTTGGTGCAGACGCAGTGCCTGCCGCCCCCGCCAACGCCAGCCACTGAGCTTCACAGCCACCTGCAGCAGGGAAGGGAAAGGGGCCTCCTCAACACTACCCCATGTACCTGCAGGGCAGGACATGACACCACGAGAGCCAATGAGTAAACTGAGGTAAGACAGCAGGGGATTGCTCTAGAGATTTGGCGGCAGCAGGGCTAAAAGGTAGGCGCAGCTTCCCAGCAGGACTTGGTAACCACGCCCAAGTCCCATCCTGCTGGCACAGACCTGGGCAGGAGCCTGTTACCTGCAGGACATCACCCAGGGCCTCGGAGTGCAGAAAGGCCCCTACTTCCTCTTTCACCAGTGTTTCCTGGCCCTCTTTGCCACTCAGCTCCACCAGCCGTAGGCCTGGGCTGGCATCCCCTCCCCGCAGCAGCCCCGGCGGCTTGTAGGTGAAAGCCAGGGTAGCTGGCACGGCCACACCGCCCTGCTGGGCCAGCAACCGCCTCGTCAGCAGCCGGTCCTCCAGCAGCCGGGCCAGCTCGGCCGAAGCTCCTGTGGGGCAGGTCAGGTCGCGGGCAAGCTCTGCTGCCTCCCGGCCCCAGCCAGGCCCCGGCCCCACGCCTGCCAGAAAGTAGGTGGCACGACGCGGGGGGACAAAGTCATCCAGGAATGTCATGCCCCCTGGATGGAAGCTCACGGCCTTGGAGACCAGCAGGGCTGCCTCACCCGGCTGCCCGGGTGCTGGCACCTTCATCAGCCAAGCAGGGGACAGGCAAAGGAGCATGTTTCCTGTGGGTAGAGGGAGGCAGGTGGCTAGTCAGGGAAGGCTTAATGTCCCCATGCCCTCCACCTCCAGCCCGGGCCCCTGTGTAGCAGGGGGCAGCTGCTCCCAGAACCCACCCCCACTCAGAGCATGGCAGCTGGTCCAGTGGAATGCAGGCGGTTGCCAGGGTTGGCGGGTATTTTGGGATGTGGCTGGGCTAGGGCAGTGCTGCCCTTTCTGTAGGAGGGGGTGGGGAAACTTGGGCACACACTCACCCGGGCTCTGGACCCCACCCTCCAGCAGCACTGACAGAAAGGTGCTCGGGGATCCCAGAATGCACAAGGTCACCTCTGCCCCAGGACAGCCTCGGGGAAAGAGAACATTGCCAAGCTTACCAGGGGCTCCCTTTGCTGTCTTTCTGCCCACCTGCCCCCACAGCCATATCCCTGCCCTCACCCTTGGGCCTCCAGGTGCTTCCTGGGGATCAGAGGGGAAGAGTACAGGGGACAGGGAGGGAGCTGGATGGAGAAGGGGAGCTGCCACCTGTCCTGTCCTGTGAGGCTGGCTCCCTTCTCTCTGGAGCTGTCCAGAAGGCACTGCAGGTTGGGTGACCAGGGACCTGGGTTCTAGCCTGAGCTCTGTCCGTGAGACCTTGGAGAAGTCACTGTTTCTCTAAGCCTCAGTTTCCCAGTCTGTACAGTGGGACTAAGTCTGTGATTCTCATGTATACTAACTCATCTAGCTGTGGCCACCTGATCTATAAAACAGATGAAGCAGGGGAGTGTCTTGGGGTCCCAACTGCGAGCTGCCTCCACGGCAGCTCCCCAGACACCTCTTTAGAAGCTTTGGTGCCATGGAACACAGTTTGCAAATCCCAGGGCTGGATCTTCGTGGGGAGTGGGTGGGGGTGGGTGGAGAGCCCCAATCCCTGACCCCACTGGTGCCAGATGGCCTTGGAAAGAATGCCTGCCTGCCTCAGACCAAACCAGAGGCTGGGGGAAGGGCTGCCCCGGACCAGGATGGGGAAGCGACTAGGCTGAGGGCCCCTCCCTGCCCCCAGGCGTGCCTCCCTCCGTGGAGCCCTTGGGCACCTGTGCGGGGCACCTGGCTGCGGTCCTGGGTCTCCGGAAGGCCAGCTTGCTGCAGACAGCTCTGCAGGAGGCTGTAGTAGTAGACAGTCCAGGCCCGGGCCTCGGCCCCTTCAGGGGAGCCCTTGCAGTCCAGGCCCACGTCCTGGCACCAGGAGCCAGGGAGGCAGCCTGCGGGCGGCAGGCCAGAGCCCCCTCCCCATGGGCCCTCCTCTTCCTCCAGGTCCTTGGAGCCCAGGGGGCAGTCCCACTCGGGACTCAGTGGATCCAGGGAGAGCTGAGGGGGCAGAAGTGGTGGGTCTTGGGCAGGGTGGGCAAGGGGCACATGAAGTCACCCAAGGGTGTAGTGTCCCCACTCTCCCAACCTGGATCATGTTCAGGGCACATACTGTCCAAGGGAGCAGGAGAGGAAGGAGTTGGGGGGTGAAGGCTTGTCACTGGGAGCATGTAGGTGGGCGTGCTTTGCAGACTGTTTTGTGTCATGCCCCCAAGGGGGGCAGGAAGCAATGTCCTGCTGGCTGGACCACTGACCCCCCATCCCACGCTGGGGTTCACAGGGGCAGAGTTTTTTTGTCTGTTTGCGCATCAAGGCAACCCCAGCACCTAAAATAGTGCCTGGCACACAGTCACTGCTCAGTAGATGTTTGTTGACTGAAGAACAGATGAACGAATGAACCCAGCAATCACTCTTGGGTTGCTCATTTCTCTCTGGGCCTCAGTGACCCAACTGCCAGCATGGAGTTTGCTGATGTCTACACATGGAGGTGATTCTGTCTCACTGTCATCCCCACGTAGGCCTCGGAGACCCGCTGTGCACCCAGCCCTGTGCTAGGCATCAGGAGGGAAAACCTGGTGCCCTTTCTTCAGACGTTTTGAGTCATGGAAATGCTTTCTTTGGATAAAAATCTAACACCCCTCCCCCTCTCTGAGGCCGGCGACTCCCACAGGAGCTGCTAGGAGTCTCTGTGAGAACGGATTCTGACTCTCTGCAGTCCCCAGGTCTGGACAGGCCTGGCAGCTGGGCCTGTCCTCCAGGGGACAGGCTTGGCCACCTTGAGCAAGTTGTGAGGTCTCTTTGGGCCTTGCGGTTGCCGTTACCTGCCCTGTCCCATCCTGGGGGTGTGATGAGGCTCGGACTAAGGATCACTGGGTGGTTGGGAGACATGTGTTGCATCCGGGACAGCAGAGGACTGAGCCTCAGACCTGGGCTTGAATCTCGGTCGCCAGGGCCACGCTCTGAGCCTTGGTGCCCTCCAGAAGGTGGGCTTCCCGAGGGCCCAGGCTGCAGGCTCCCTGCTATGTCCCCAAACCTGGAATGGTGCTGGGCGCACAGCAGGTGCTCAGTAAATGTTGTGGAACGGATGAATGTCCAAGGGGTCTAATGGTGCCCACCTCCCAGGGCTGATGGGGGAGAGGTGGCGTGCCTGGCGCACAGCAGCCGCTTCTCCTATGGCACGGGGTGAGGGCGGGGGGAGCAGCTGTGTGTCTGAGCTGTCTGCACAGGGCAGCCCCTGGGTTAGGCCTCTGAGTGCCAGTTGCTGCCCTCTGGGCCCTCCCTCTGTCCAGGAACGTGGGCCTTTTCGGGAGGGACCACAGGAGACTCACCATCTCAAGGGTGCAGGGGCTGAGACTGACTGGTGGCAAAGACAGAGGGACAGAGAGACAAAGGAGGGAGTCAGGGCAGCCAGGTCTTTACCCCGCCTGCCTGCCCCTAAGACTTTGGGAGCAGAGAGGTGGCCGCCTCTGTGCCTCTGTCCTGTCCCTGCCAGGAGGTGCCAAGGCTGCCCCACCCCCACCCCAAGGAAGAAGAGGGATTTCTGCCGCCCAGACCCCGTGGGTGCTGCCCGCTGAGCTCACACATCCCGGGGGGCGCCCGGCTGCACTGGGGGTCCCGGCTTAGCCCCTCCAGCGGGGGACTCCCCGGGTCCCGTGGGGGGCGGCGTAGTGTCAAGGGTCGCGCTGCGGGGCACAGGCGCTCTGGGTCCCTGTCCCCGCGGCCCGGGCAGTCCCCTCCCTGGCTCTCCCCGGGGCGGGGAACGGAGCCGGGGGTACCTGGCGGGCGGCGGCGGCTCGGCGGGGCTCGGCTGCGGACGCGGAGCGGGCGGGACTCGGCGGCGGCGGCGGCACAGCCGGGCTCGGGCGGCGCCACTTTATATAGATGCGCCGGAGCAGGCGGGCGGCGGGGCGGGGCGGCGGGGCGAGGACAGCGGGGACCGCCCCGCCCCGCGCGCCAGGGCGACCCAGACCTGGGCGTGGGGGTGGGGCTGGGGGGTGGGACGCGGCCGGCCAGAGGCGGCGCTCGGCGGCCGGGAGAGCCAGTCCCAGGGACCGACAGGGCATCTCAGAGACAGAGACTAAGTCCCGACAGGGGGTCAGGTGCCAATGGACAGGGACTGTCAGAGAGGGTCACAGACATAGGGCTGCGGTAAAGAAAAAGGAGATAGTGGAGAAGAGATGGGGAGGGGAAGGGCAGGGGCGAGGGGAGGGGAGGGGAGGGGAGCGCTGGAGCGGACAGAGGCTGGTACGGGCCGTCCCTGGGCTGGGTGGCGGCAGAACCGGCTGGGGCACACAGCCCCGAGCCCCGCCCTCGGATGGAGTCCTGAGCTCCCTCCACCGCCCCCCACCCCCAGCCTGCCGCTGTGTCCCAGCCAGGGACACTCTGCCCTACTGCACACTCGCCCAGAAAGGCCCTCCTGGGCCAGGGTCTCCGGGCATCTGTGGAGTCCCCTCCTCACCGCTCCTGTCCTGTGGGCCTGCACATGGGGCGGGGGTGTCTGGAAGACCCACCCTGCCGTCCACACCCAGGCCAGCTGCACAGTCTCCCCTGCACACACGCACATACCCAGGGGAACCCACCCAAACACCCACAGAAGCGCACCCCAAGGCACCTGGGTCACAGCTACAGATTCAGCCCCAGAGACTCCCACCCTCTCCTGGAGTGCACCGCACCGGCAGGGCGGCTCCCAGCTCTGGCCGAGGGACCTGCCACCTCCCCTTTCTCATCTGAAGCTCACTTTCCTCCTGCCTCAAATGGGGGGCTCCCTTCTCACAGGGCAGGTGGGCTATTGTCACCATTCCTCCACCTCACACCCCACACTCACACCCTCTCCCTGCTTGTCTCCCTGTCCCGCTGTCCTCGAGAGTCCCCCGGCTTGGGGGAGGGTACTGAGGGGCCGGTGGCACTTGTGGGGACAGAGGTGGCAGCTTTTGGATCCATTCTGCTGCTATAGCCAGAGCAGCCTATGGGGACACACCCCTCTCTACCACTGGAGGGGTTCAGAAAGGGGAAGTGACCTATCCAGCGTCCCCCAACCCAGCCCACATTCCCCACGTGCAGCCCTCCCTGGTGGGGCTCCCACAGTGAAGCGCAGACACCCCAGAAGGTCCATTCCCTCACCGCGTGGGTGGCCTGAGCTCCCATGCGATCCCACGGTGGGGGCAGGGTGGGCATGGCTGTCATCCAAAGAGCATGAACTTTGACATTTGATAAACTATGCAGCCTCTGGGGACTCAGTTTCCTCATCTTCACATAGTGAGTGCATACTTAGTCCAGGCTTGGCCGGGCAAGCGCCTGCAGGTAGCGCTAGTCGCGCTAGTCGTGCTAGTCGCATCAACAAGTATTTCTTGTTTTTTCTTCTCGCTATGTTGCCCAGGCTGGTCTTGAACTCCTGGCCTCAAGCAATCCTCCCATCTTAGACTGGTGCGTCACTGGGACTCCAGGCGTGAGTGAAGAGTGCCAGTGTTTCTTGCCTTGTCCCAGGTGCTATGCAGGGGGCTGTATGTGCAGTGTCACTTGAACACTCAACACTAGGAGATAGCAGTTATCATTGTTTGCCTTTTACACATGAGGAAAGTGAGGCTCAGAGATGTAGTGTGACTTGCCCAAGGTCACACAGGTGGTGAGAGTCAGAGCTGGGGTCTTCCTTCTGCCAAAATGCGTGCATACCTGCTCAGCGAGCAATGTAGCAATGCGGTTCTGTGCCTGCTCCCAGGCCACCCTGCTGGGCACCAGCTGCACTGGCTTTTGCCTTGTGGACAAAGGGAGGAAAATGAGGGTTGAGGAACTGCAGCCCAGTATTGGGGCCCTTGGACTTGGGGCAGGCAGGTGGCAGGGTGGTCCTACTCTGTCCTTGCCAGGAAAGCCTGGACATCACCTGAGGCTGAGCTAAGCCAGGTAGGGGTGGGGTGAGGAGAAGCCATGCTTCCGCTGCTACCCAGCTGGATGGAGGACTAATCATCGTAATAGTATGACTGGTAGAACGCTCTTTTTTTTTTTTTTTTTTTTTGTTGAGACAGAGTTTCACTCTTTTCCCCGGGCTAGAGTGCCGTGGCGTCATCCTAGCTCACAGCAACCTCAAACTCCTGTGCTCAAGCGATCCTCCTGCCTCAGCCTCCCGAGTAGCTGGGACTACAGGCATGCGCCACCATGCCCAGCTAATTTTTTCTATATATTTTTAGTTGTCCGATTAATTTCTTTCTATTTTTAGTAGAGATGGGGTCTCGCTCTTGCTCAGGCTGGTTTCAAACTCCTGAGCTCAAACAATCTGCCCGCCTCGGCCTCCCAGAGAGCTAGGGTAGAACGCTCCTGAGGCTGGGGTGGGAGCTGTCATCTCACTATCTGTAGGAGAAGACTGAGGCTCAGAAAGGGCAAGAGGGCCTTTCCCATGCAGGGACTTTGCAGGGAGTCCAAGTTTGGCCTCTGAGAGCCCAAAACAGTGCGGCATGGCAGGGGGCAGTGAAGGATGGAAACTGTGGGTCCTCCCTGATCCAAGGTGGGGCTACACATGCTCTGCCGCTCCTTTGTGTGCCCCCACTCGTGTCCACTCTGCATCCCCCACTCTGATGCAGGCTGACAGACGTTTCTGGATGCCATCCCAGCTTCAGTGCCCACACACTGAGTGCTCTCGGATGTGTTACGTCCCTTTCCGGGCCCCTTTCCAGGCGGGTTTGTAGGGAGCTTCTGGGTTTACTGAGTGTGGTTGTGCAGGTTGATCACTGCACAAAGGCACCTGGCTGAGAGGTCACTCCCCACTCTGCCACACCGTGCACTGCGGCAAGACTGCATGTTGCCTAAAGAGCAGTATCTTTCCCCAGCTGGTGCAAAGGTGCTGTGGAGCTGGCGCAGCCCTGCGGAGGAGGACCTCTGAGAATGTGTGCTCGAAAGTGTTCACGTGAGGAGGGAGGGAGCTTGTCCTCTTCTCCCCTGACCTGTCAGTTCAGGCTCCTGTGTAGAAGGTTGATAACGGAACCTGCAGAAGAGCTGCCCAGAAAACACTCCCCTCAGTAGGAAAAAGGCGATGCCTCAGCCCCAGCTGGAGGGGCCCCGCTGGAGACCACCTGCTCTCAGACTCTGTCCCCATGGTGAGCCACGGCCATTGTGCCCCCAGCCTCGCCCCAGCCTCATGACAGATTCTTGGCCAGGGCTGAGGCTGCTGCATTCTTGCGCTCCGATTCTCCCGGCAGAAGAGCTGAACCGTGGAGGGCAGGGAGCTTCCAAGTGGATCCCAGGGGCAAATCCCCGGCCACCCTACCTGCTACAGTGCCTGAGATTCCACCATCAGCCTCCTCCTCTAAGGCTAAAGCGTTGTCTAGAAGGCACGGAGCTCTGAATTCTCCCAGCGGCTCTGCCTCTGCTGTGGTCTTGGGCGGGGTACTGGGCCTGACTGAGCCTCCATCTCTCTAACAAGGCTATCAGGGCCACCTGCAGAGAAGGCTGAGAAAGGGTTTTATAAACTATGGGTAAGGGGATGATTATGAAGCTGCAGGTACCCTGTGGCGGGGGAGGAAGGAGGGAAGGAAGGCTCTGGAAGCTCTCTTTAACCACAGGAGTCCAGCCCCCGGCCCACACTCAGGGGGCTGGCACAGGAATGGCGGTGGGGTGGGGTGGGAGAAGGAGAGAGCACCCCCAGGAGGGCAGTCCAAGGTGGGTGCCCAGTGGGGAAGCTGGTTCACGGGCTGCAGTGGGGGCAGGGGTGAACCTTGGTCTGCCACGGACAGTGAGCTTTGCCAAGTTCCCTCCCCTCTGAGCCTCAGTTTCCCCCCAGGAAACTCCAGATACAAATGGATCCAATGTTCTCTCCTCAGGTGGTCGGCTCCTTGGGATTGGGATAGGTCTGCCCTGGACCCAGGGCCAGACCAGGCACATAGTAGGTGCCACATGAACATATGTAGGGTGAGTGCATTTCTGCAGCCTGTGGCCCTGTCACTAGAACATTCCAAGTCCAGACTCTGACATGGCCATGGCAATGCTCCAGCACAGCCGCTGGGCTGCGCAGATTGAACACTCCCCTGATGGTCCACCGCTGACCCGCGGCCTCCGATGCCCGCTCTCAGTGCTCCCTGCCGCATCCCTCACCCTCATCATACTGCGGAGCTGCCCAGGGAGGAAGGGACGGGGTGCCCGGGAACAGGCACTGTGGGGACACAGCCTGCATCGGAACCAGCCCTGTTGTCCTGGCCATGGTTCACGTTCCAGGCACCCCAGGCACCCACGGGGGCAATTAGTGAGTGTGGGAGGACGTTTCCATGGTGGCGGTCCCGAGGGGGTGCCTCTAGGGCTTGGGAGGGCAAGGGCCAGCGGGACCTTTCTCCTTTGTCCTGGGCACACTAGGCCTTTGTCCTTGCCTGGCTCTCTTTGACAGATGTGATCAGGACCACAGTGGGGGCAGACTTGGGTTAGAGTCCCCCACCCTGGGGAGTCCTGAACCAGCCTGGGGGGAGGGGAGGGAGGGGCCGGCATCCACTGGGGAGCCCTCCTCCCACAGGTGCGAGAGCCTCGCCTGTCCCCAAGAGGCTGGGCGAGGCAGCACTTGGCTCCTGTGGCTGGTAAACACCTTCCCCAGCAGCCAGTGGGCAGCCTGGGTGTGTCCCCAGGGTGGGACGGGACCAGGGCTGGGCCAGGAGAGGGCGGGGCCGGGAGGGGGTGGGTGAGGGGAAGAGGGGAAGGGGCCTGCCATCCAGGGTTGGTGGTGGAGGGCGTTAGATCCAATTCAATCCAGGCATCTGCTCAGTCAGACTTTATTCCAGGAGCTCTTTGGGGTCCCTCAGGCCAGCCAGCCGCCTCTCCATCCCGTTCCTTCGGTGCTGCTTGGGTGCGCGTGAGGGTCCGGGCACCAGGAAGGCTTCACGGGCAGGTAGCTGGCTTGGGTCCCCACAAGCCCCACTCTGGGATCTTCCTTCATCTTTGTGCCTGACACAGTCTGTAATATGGGGGGCTCCTCCCCCACTGCCCGGCCTGCTGGGAAGGGGCCGAGTCCCCAGACCCCAGCAGTAAAGTGCAGTGCCCACTTGCAGGGCTGGCATCAGCCATTCCGGAGATCAGGACGCTGAATCCATGGGACCCTCAGAAGCGGGTGTCCAGGAAGGAGGCAGAGCCTCGATGGGACCTGGGGGGACCTTCGATGGGGGGCCCCCGGGCCCGAGTCAGGAGCCCGTGGAAAGTCTTGCCGCGGGTCTGGGGTTTGCGCCGTGGTGGTCGGGGCTCCTCCGGGGGCTGCACCACAATTCGGGGCACCTCGGGCTTGGCGCCTCCTCGTGCCCGGGCCAGCTGCTGGGCCTCAAAGACAGCCTGGGCCCCCGCAAGGCGGGCCTGTGGCCGAGGGGGTGGCCCAGGCGCTGACTCGGGCAGCTGGGCCAGCTGGACCCTGATCTCCCGCTGCAGGTCCCGCTCAGACAGAGCCACACTGTGCACCTGTGGGGAGCAGCTGGTGCTGAGTTTGTCCGGACTTGGGGAGGGCGGGAGGTGGGGACAGGAAACTATGATGTCCCCATGGGGCGGGCAATACACAGCCCCAGGAAGTGGCTGAGGGCTGAGGGGCTGACACACAGCCTTGCTGGGGGAGCCACAGAAAGCCACTTGAGGCCTGGGGTTTTCATGTTTTCTGCAGCTCAGAGGACAGGAACTGAGCCCCAGTTCTCACTTTGGCTTCCCACTCTGGGACTCGGTTTCCCCCGCTGTGCAGCAGGGGCTGGGCCACTGCAGGGGGTAGGCAGGGGGCACCCACCTGGGACATGAAGACCTCCTCCTGCAGCTGGGTGGGCGGGATGGCTCGAAGGGCGCCGAGCGTCTCCAGGAGACCCGGGCAGGCCCCTCGCTGCTCTGCGGTGCCCAGCGCCAGGCGCACCAGCGTCAGCCCCACACGGAACAGCACTTTGGCACCTGCAGGCCGGGGGCTCACTCACCGGGAGGCCAGCCCTGCCCAGCCCCTCCTCAATTCCATACCCGAACCTGCCCCCAGCCATACTCCTGCCCCCTCCCCCAGCCCAAGCCAGGAGCAATGAGGGAAGAGGGGCTTGGACTCGGTGGGGCACAGGCCCTGCACCGGCCACATCGGTCTCAGGGCTCCTGACGACCTCACACCCAGCCTTCCGGGCCTCAGCTTCCTTGTTTCCATGAGGAAAGATCAGGTGGGTGCTCTTTAAGGCCTTTCGGCTTGGATCTGTGACACCCTGATTCTAGAAAGATTCTAGGCAGAATTTCTCACCCCTGAGCCAAAGCTTGTGCTTGTGTGTTTGCACACTCCCCACAGTGTGACCTTGAGCCAGTCCTGGAGCCTCGAAATCCCTTCCTGGCAACCTCTGATCTGCTGAGAGGAGCAGCTGGGGGACCAGTGAGGCCTAGTGACAACTGTGACTTGTGAAGGGACAACCTGATGTCCTCGTAGATATTCAAGGGAGCCCGCACAGGGCTCATCCTCAGGTGTAGCTGATCAGGCCCTGCCCAGGTCTGCCCAGCCCTGCCCTCAAGGTCCAAGGCTGGAGGGGAGGTGACCCATGGATGGCCACTTGGACCCCCGTGGCCAGAGCTCTAAGCCAGCTAGTGGTCTTCCCTGTGTGAGAGTGTGCGTGTGCGTGTGTGTTGGGGGGACGAGCTCAGGGGGTTGAAGCTGGCAAGCACACAGTAGGTGCTCAGTGAATGTATTGATTCATTTCTACCATCGTTTCAGGTGCAGCCTCTGGGTGTCACACAGAGAACAGAGCACAAGGGGGGTTGCTGGTGGGAGGCACTGAGTCAGGGCCCCGGAACCAGCTCGGGCCTGCCTGACTCCCCTCCTGCTCCTGGCCTGGCCCAGCGCCCCCTCTCTGGCTTTGCCACCGGACACCCTCCCTCCTGTGTCCCTCCGCTGTAGCCTGGCCCTGGAGACAGCAGCATTCCCGGCTCCAGGCCTCCAGAACACCCTACAAGTGTGCCTCCTCCATGGAGCAGCCAGGCAGCTTTAAAACAGCAGCCCCCTCTTGCCGCTCCCCTCATGCTCTCTGTCACATCCCTCGTTTTATTTTCCTCATGGCACTTATGACAATCTATAAATATCTTGTTAATTTGGTTACTGTCGCCTCCCATCCCCACCCGCACTAGAAGGAAGGTCTTGCTGGCTCAGGAGCTCCCTGTCGCCAGGGCTTGGCCTCCTACCAGGGCCCCAACCTGGCCCAGTCCCAGAGCTCAGGCCTCCCTGCTGTGACGACAAAGCCTCCCTGGCCCCACCCTGCCCCGGGCAGCAGCAGTCCTCCCTCTGGTGCTCCGCATCGCACTTCCGGGGCCAACACGTTCAGCACACCTGGCCCTGAGACGGAGGCCCCCAAAGAGCGGGGAGTGACGGTGGCAGAGCGGAGCGAGGCCCCACCATGTGCGCGCCAAGGCCCCGCCCCAGCTGCCGGCGCCCCGCTCACCCTCGCTGAGGAAGGCGTCCCAGACACGCAGCACCGTGGGGAAGGGCAGGGAGCGGGCGAAGAGGCACAGGAACCACTCGGGCAGGTAGAGCAGGGGTCCGACGCCCACCTGCTGCAGGTGCTTGTGCACACGCGGGAGCAGCCGCCGCAGCAGGGCCATGAACACCTCGGCGTCCAGCTGCACAGCCTCCTGTGGCCGTGTCCATGAGCTTGGAGGCCAATGTCACCCGGCGCCTCCACCCCGACCCCAGGCTTCTGCCCCCACCCCCATGCCAGGCCCCTTCCCTCTTTCCCCCAGCCCCCATCCCAGCCTCTCACCATGTGGGGCCCATAGTAGCCGGGGAGGTAGACCTCACAGATCTGCACCAGGCACCAGAAGGCCTCCTGGGGGGACGGGGCACAGGCCTGTAGTGCCCGCCAAGGAAGGGACCACGGAAGGGAAGGCAGGATGGGCAAAGGGTGGGGGGAGGGCCTGGGCACAGCCAGGCACAGCCAGGAGCCTGGCCCCTCCTAACCTGCCCAGTGACTGGGGGTACTTTCCAAAAGCCAGGGCCTGCTCGTGGGCTTAGGGGGTCAGAAGTCACAGGGATCAGGGTGTTGGATTTGAGGGCCACAGGGCTGGGGCTCACTGGGCAAGGGTTGGGAGGGTCCCAAAGTTCAAGTCCTGGGTTCCTGGGGTCATTGGGGTCAGGGGTCAGAGTCCCAGGGTTCAGAATCAGTAGTCTGGAGTCAAGGTGATGAGTATCCAGACTCCTTGACCACTGGGGGAAGGGTCGAGGTCAAGGTCCCAGGCTCCTGGAGTCAAGATCATGAGGCTCAAAGGTCACTGAGATTGGTAGTCATGAGGCTCTGGGTCACTAGGACAGGGTCCAGGAGTCAAAGATCCTAGGTCCCTGAAGCCAGAACTTTTGGGGGTGGGGATCGCTGGGGGCCTGGGGTTCAGGGTTCAGGGGCTCAGCTTCCTGGAGCAGGGTCCTGGTCGCTCACCTCTGGGGGCAGGTGCATGAGCAGCACAGCAGCCACAGGCCCCTGGGCCTGGCAGTAGCCCTGTTCTGGTCGATGCAGGGTGTAGGCCTTGAGTACCTGCAGGAGCCCCTGCTGCCTGTGCCAGAAGACCCCATCAGGGGCCAGTCCTCCCGGCACCCCTTCCCCACTCCCTGGTGGCCTCTGCCCAGGCCTCAGCTTCCCTGGGCCTCGCTGGGTCCCCTGAGATGCAAGACTGTAACACTAGGGTGGGGAGACTGGGCCCAAATGCCTGGGGCTTGTGGGGCTGGGGGTCCCTGGGCATCACTGGCTTCGTACCCATGGCCCTGGGGTGACACGAACATCTCGTGCAGAGGGAACTGACGATGCAGGTCCCTGCCGATGGTCTCCATCCACTGCGGGTCTCCCGGGGCCTCTGCCAGCTTCTGCGGGTGGGTGGGCAGGAAGGTGGGTGTCAGGGCTCAGTATAGTGAGGGGCTCTGGGAAGCGGAGGTGGGACCCCTGCCCACTCCCTCACCTGGTAGGTGCCAGGGCTGTTCTTCTGACACACATGGGCCCCACATAGCAGGGGCCAGCAGCGGGCCCGCAGGGCCGAGGGGATGCCTTTGCGACACTGCATCTTTACCTGTGGGGGATGCCGAGAAGCTCCCTTACGTCAGCCCTGCTGGCTCCTGTTGGCAGGCCCCGAGCACAGCTTAGCATCTGGCAGGGGCCACTCCGGGTGGCAGGGAGCAAAGGCGTGGGCCCGGGCAGAAGGAAATGGGCCAAGGAGGCCTGGGTGGGGCCACTCTCCCCCTCACCTTCTTGTACCGCCGGGACATGGTTTTCTCCCAGTGCGAGGTCATCTCTACCCACTTCATCTCCCGTTGGCGGATTAGGTCTGCAGGGGGGTGGCCTGGCCTGGTGGCACATGGCACAGATATCCAGGTGCTGGGCAGCCATTTTTACCTAAAGCCCATACCTGCCACCCTCCATGCTACCCAGGTGAGCCCAGTTCCTGGCCCTTGGGATCTCTGGGGAGCCCTGGGGAGCGACCTGTAACCCAGGAGCTGCCAATGGTTGTCATGGGGACAGGAAAGGATGTGGCTCCGATGTGGGCAGAAACAGGAGGGACTGAAGGAGTCTGAGTGGGTGTGTGTTGGGGGAGGGGCTGGTTGGCTGTCACCCAGGACAGGGACACAGACAATTCATAGAGCCCTGGACTAGAAGCCAGGAGTCCTAAGTTTGAGTCTGGTTCTGCCTCTGATTTGCTGTGTGACCTAGGGCAAGTTTCTGTCTGTATCTGGGCTTGTTTTCCTGTCTGTACCTTAGGGAGGAGAGGGGAGGAGATGTGGGTTCTTTGATTTAGATCTGGGATTCCTGGGCCCAAAATTTAAAGGGAAAGGAAATCCAGCCCCAGAAGTGGATGCAAACCCTTGGAAGTTGGGGGTCAGAAACATACAGAGACACCCCCCACCCCCCAGCCCTTCCTACCTTAAGATGCTGCCTGGAGCCTGAGGAGGGTGATACTGGCCGAGTCCCCAGCCCAGTCCCTACCACCAGACCCTTCCCGGGCCCCTGAAGTTGGGCCTCACACCAAAATTCAACCCTCAGACCCTATCCTTAGTCCCAGCATCCCGCCCTCCCCACCCCTGCCCCACTTACCCTGGCTCTGCTGAGCTGCCCCCAATGAAGCCATAGCGGTCAGCTTGGCGATACGGGCCGGGCCCACTCAGCTCTGAGTCAGACCCCAAAGAGCTGGAGTCATCCTGTAGCTCAGAAGGCTGCACCAGGTCCTCCCCCAGGGCCCGGGCCATGGTGCCCAGACTTTGGATGCCACAGGCTGAGAAACGTGGGGAGAACCAGTGTGAACGGCCACTCCTGGCCAGCTGGGGCCTGCATTCCCATCCAGCCAGTTCCCAGCCCCAAGCCTGGCTGTGGGGTCAGACGAGGGAGGCTTCAGGGTATCTCATCCAGCCCCCTACGTCTCCTCTTTTACTGGGGTGGAGGGCTAGACCCTGCAGTGACAGAAAGGCCAGGCCCAGCCCCCGTCCCACCAGCCGAGCTCACCTCCCCGCTGCACCTCACCTCCTCCTCTCACTTCCTCCTCACACACAGCTTCAGCAACCGGCCGGGGGCCCCTCCCAAGTAGGGGGGTCACCCTTTCCTCTGAGGCTCTTCCTGCCTGCCCCAGTGCCCCTGAGCCATGGGCTCCTCCCACCCTCCCATCCTCCCCTTGGGCGGCTGCGGGCTTCAGATCCTGTGCTGGGTGTGATGGGCCAAGGCCTGCCAGAGGTAGCGAGGCCAGGCCACCTTCAGTTTCCAGGATACTGGTGTGCAAAGCACCCAACTCAGAGTTTCAATAAGAATTATGGTTTATTTAAAACAATGTTTGCTCTTTACAAAGTCACACTTTTAACATGCACACAATGCAATATGATTACGCTACTCAAAAGGTAATTATGGGACTTATAAGAAAATACTAATTTAGCAATCCCCAAGGCAGTGTGGACCAAAATACACTCAGCCATCTGGGGACCACAGAGACCCAGGCGTCCCCCGGGAACTTGAGGCCCTGGTCTTGACAAGCCATTGCTATCTGTGACCCTCAGTGTCCTTTTCTGCACTTCGAAGACTTAATCTGTAGCGTTTGAGGAGACGGTCCTGTGCTCACACCACCATCTCACCCAGGGCAGAGATGAGAAGGACTATTTAGCCCTTGAAAGAGAAAAACAACTTCTATAGTACTTCCGGTCCCATATCCTGGGAGCGGGGCTGGGTGGCTCTCAAAAGGCGGAACCAGACTCAACCCCGCCCCGCCCAAACCCCGCCCACCAGCCACAATCAGGCCCGCCCCGTCGCCCGAGGCCCCGCCTCCCGGGACACCGCGGCAGCTGCCCTTCGCGTCCAGTGGAGGCGCTAGAGCGCGAAGGAGAGCGGGGCGGGCCCGGAGGCCGAGGAGGCGGGGCGGCGGGCCGGGGGCGACTGGGGCGGGCGGAAGGAGAGCCAGGCCGGAAGGAGGCTGCCGGCGGGCGGGAGGCAGGAGCGGGCCCGGAGCTGGTGGGCCGGAGCGGCGGCGCCGCCATGTCCGACAGCGAGAAGCTCAACCTGGACTCTATCATCGGGCGCCTGCTGGAAGGTTGGCCGGGGCGGGGAAGGTCCGCGCCTGCCGCGCCCTGGCCCCCTGCCCGGCCCGGAAGTGGCGCGCGGGCGGGCCTGCCCCGCCCGGGGCCAGCTTAGACTGGGCGGAGACGGGCCGCGAGGTCCCATGTCCACAGCCGCCCCCCCATTCACGGGCGCGCCCGAGAGGTCTGGGGCCCTCTCCGACACGGGAGCAGCCCCCTCTCCTGGGCCGGGGGCACACGGGTTGCCTGGCTCTTGGGTTGAGGAAGAAACCTGTGAAGCCTAGTCCTAGAAGGGGTCCTGCGCGGTGAGGTTTTGGGTGGCAGGCCCTGCCCGCTCTCGAGGGCCTTGAGGGTAGTCGGGGGTCTTCCCTTAGGAGGCTTGAGGCGGAGGTCCCGGAAGCCTCAGCAGCAACAGCTGCCTCAGGGCAAGGAGGGGCCCGGGACGCCCAGGCACCCCGAGTTGCCCATGGGGTCACCCGCGACGCCCACCCTCCTGCCTGAGGAGCCGGGGTCCTGACACCTCCATTCCACCCCTAGTGCAGGGCTCACGGCCTGGAAAGAATGTACAGCTGACAGAAAATGAGATCCGTGGTCTGTGCCTCAAATCCCGGGAGATTTTCCTGAGCCAGCCCATTCTTTTGGAGCTGGAGGCACCCCTCAAGATCTGCGGTGAGCCCCCTGCCCCGGCCCCTTTGGCTTCCTGAAAGTGGGATTGGCCCCCAAAGTTTCTGCTTTCCTCTTACTTTGAGCCCAGTCCTGGCTCTGGGCTCGAGTCTAGACTGTGCACCTAGCTTATGGGTCCCTGGGTCACAGGTGACATCCATGGCCAGTACTATGACCTTCTGAGGCTGTTCGAGTATGGCGGCTTCCCTCCGGAGAGCAACTACCTCTTCCTGGGGGACTATGTGGACCGGGGCAAGCAGTCTTTGGAGACTATCTGCCTGCTGCTGGCCTATAAGATCAAGTACCCTGAGAATTTCTTCCTGCTCCGTGGGAACCATGAGTGTGCCAGCATCAACCGCATCTACGGTTTCTACGATGAGTGTGAGTGGTCTGAGTGTCCAGAGCCTGCCCAGGTCCTGAACTGCACTTCCTGCTGTTCAGTGGGACCCTCACATTGGCCTGGCAGCAGCAACTTCAATATCTGAGATACCTGTTGGACCGTGAGCTCTGCGAGGGCAGAGCCCGGGTCAGTTCGTATGTCTGCCCTGCCCTCCCTGGCTGGCATGGGGTCTGGTGAATGGCTGCTGGCTGGAGGGCTGCCTATGTTCTAGTGCATTTCCCCAGGACCCTGCCTGGTGACAATCCCCTCCAGTACATTTGCTGCTTAAGCGCTCAGGATGCCTGTGTAGACTGGACTCTGCTGTCCAGAGGCTGAAATAAACCAGACCCAGTCTTGGCCTGGCCCTGCTCATGGGGTGGAGGTGGGTGCCAGCCTTGAGGTTGGTCCAGATTGGAACTTGGCTTCCTGTGGACGTCAGTGCTTTAGAACTCTTGGAAGGCTGGTAGATGGTAGGGGATTTGAGCCCTCCTTGCCTTACTTCTTCCAGCTGTGTCTGAATAGCCCCCAAAGTGCCCCGGAAGGCCCCGAGACCAGGCTGGGGGTGGGCGGGGGTAGGCAGGCCTTCCATGAGCTGCTCCTTCCCCTGGGCAGGTAAGAGACGCTACAACATCAAACTGTGGAAAACCTTCACTGACTGCTTCAACTGCCTGCCCATCGCAGCCATTGTAGATGAGAAGATCTTCTGCTGCCACGGAGGTGAGGGTGGCTGTGGGGCACACGCTGAGGGAAGGCCTAGGAAGGAGCCCTGGCCACATCCCTGGGCCTTGGAAGGAAGCTGTTAGCTGGAAGACACACTCCCAGTTGCCTGGAACAGCTCTCCCTTGGGTCTTTTCCTGGATGCCACTCCGTCCAGGAAGTTTCCCCCACACCCTGCTGCATCAGGCTGCACTCGCTTCCCTGTCGTGGCATTTGCCATCCTGCATGGAGTTTACTTGTCTCCTTTTACCGGGGAGCTCTCCGCTCCTTGAGGGCAGGGACGTCTTTGTGATTGTGTTTGGGAACTTGGAAAAGCCGAAGCGAAGGCGATGGACTTCTGCCTGCCTGGGCTCTTGGGAGCCCAGGAGAGGGGTGAAGGGGTGGTGGGAAGGGTAGGGCTGATTGGCAAATGCTTCCTGGAGGAGGGAGGTCCTTGTTTTGAGGCTTGTTGAGAAAGTGACCTGCCCCCGGTGCCCCTCAGGCCTGTCCCCAGACCTGCAATCCATGGAGCAGATACGGCGCATCATGCGGCCCACAGACGTGCCTGACCAGGGCCTGCTGTGTGACCTCCTGTGGTCTGACCCTGACAAAGATGTGCAGGGCTGGGGTGAGAACGACCGTGGTGTCTCCTTTACCTTCGGAGCCGAGGTGGTTGCCAAGTTCCTGCACAAGCACGACTTGGACCTCATCTGCCGAGCGCACCAGGTGGGCTGGCAGTCTCCGGTCTGGGCGGGGGTCGGGAAACACGCAGGCCTGTAGTTGCAGAACTAACTGCTCCCATCCTCGCCCAGGTGGTAGAAGATGGCTACGAGTTCTTTGCCAAACGGCAGCTGGTGACACTTTTCTCAGCTCCCAACTACTGTGGCGAGTTTGACAACGCTGGTGCCATGATGAGCGTGGATGAGACCCTCATGTGCTCCTTCCAGGTGGGTGTGGGGAAGGAAGGGGCTGGCGGCCCCGTGGCTGAGCCCCGTGAGCCTGACCGGCTTTGTCTCTTCTAGATCCTCAAGCCCGCCGACAAGAACAAGGGGAAATATGGGCAGTTCAGTGGCCTGAACCCCGGAGGCCGACCTATCACCCCACCCCGCAATTCCGCCAAAGCCAAGAAATAGCCCCCATGTGCTGCCCCTCTGCCCCAGATGATGGATTGATTGTACAGAAATCATGCTGCCATGGGGGGGTCACACCGGCCCCTTGGGCCCACCCATCGTGGGGAACCTGGAGCCTTGGTGTATTTTTCTTTTTTTTAATGAATCAATAGCAGCGTCCAATCCCCCAGGGCTCCCTCCTGCTTGTACCTGTGGTGGCTGCAAGCAGGAGCCTGGGGCCAAGGCTGCAGCTCAGGGCAATGGCAGGCCAGATTGTGGGTCTCCAGCATTGCTTGGCCTCAGGGCTGGCAGCCGGATCCTGGGGCAACCCATCTGGTCTCTTGAATAAAGGTCAAAGCTGGATTCTCACCATGGCCTCTGTGTCCCTTGTTCCAAACACTGGGCCTGGCAGCCCTTCTGCACAGAGCCGCTGGAGAGCACGGGCTTGCTGAGCCCCAGAGGCTCTTAGATTTCCAAGCCAGGGACAGAGTATTGGGAGTGCAAGAAAAATAGTCTGTGTCATCCACCAGGGGTCCCAGGGGTATGCGCAGGACTTGGGGAAGAAACAGGCATGACTGGCAGAAATGCATCAGCAGGGCCACGTTTTTTTCTTACAGAAGTGAGCCTGAGGAAGACAGGTTTCCAGCCCTGGCCAGGTGGTTTGAGTCTGGCCTAAGGCTCAGTGGTAAATAAGAGGTGAGGAACCTGCTGTCAGGTAGTAGCTCAAGGCCAGGTCTGGGAACAGACATGATTGATTGGTTGGGGGTGATAACAGGACCCAGGCCAGTCAGGGTGAGCCGGGCAGCTCCACGGGGCATGGTGGACAGCCAGGCAGGGCCTGTCAGAGGGAGCAGAACCACCAGCTCGGCTCCAGCAAGCCCACCTTTACGACCCTCCAGGGCCGGGGCTACGCCTAGTCCAGGGCCTCTGGACACAGACGACTTCAGGTTCTCAGTTCAGCCTTCACCCTCACTGTCTTCAGCCAGCACAGGGCTGGGGCCCTGGGGGGAGTGTACAGGGGCCAGGATGGAGCCAAAGAACAGCGAGCGGAACTGGAAAGAGAACAGAGAGTTCTGGAGGCTGCTCCTTTCTCACCTCCCATCCCCTGCCTCCACCTCCAGCCCCTACCTTCTTGGGTGGGGGAGTCCCAGGTACTGTACTGGGCTCAGCTTCGTCTTCCTCTTCTGAGTGGGGGTCAGGGCTATGGGAGCGCTGGCGGCCAGGTGACAGGGAAGTGGAGGGCAGCGCCCGGGAGCCCTCACTGCCTATGGTGGTTTCCATGGCCATCATGTAAGAGTCAATGTCATCATTTGCAAAGTCATCCAGGTGGGGTGTGCTGCAGGCAGAAACAGAGTACCAGTGAGGAAGAGGGAGAGAAGAGGGGTACAGACGCAGGGCCCCACCTGGGAGCGCTCGGAGGGGGCTCCGGGGCCTCATGACTGCTGGTGCTCTCATGGTTTTATTACTTCCTGATCTGGCCGGAGAGGAGAGGAGAGGATGCTGGGGTTAAGTGGTGGCTTCCCGGAGGGGGTGGGCCTGGAATCCCTTTGATCAGAGTTCAGGTAGGGGCCTAAGGGAGGCATCCTAGGGGCTAGTTTAGCTCAGCTTGGGGAAGGGAGCAGCCAGTCATGTGAGCTAGGCCACTTGGGGCCCAAGCTCCCACCTTCCCAGGGGACAGGAACTGGAGAGCACTGGCGCCCAGGGATAAGCTGGGCAGGGGGCCAGACCAAACTTCCTCTGCTTAAACTACACTGGGCCCCTCCTCCCCAACCCACCTGCCCTTCCAGCCACCTGCTTCCCCCACTCCAGGCAGCTCCCTGCCTCCCAGCAGCCCTTCCCCTCCTTGGCCTGGGAGGAGGCTGAGAGGGGAGGCCTCAGCCAGACAAGGAAGCCAGCAGGACCTCGGGGATGCTTCCCTAGGAGGGAGGGGTCTCAGTACAGCTGACCGTGAAGGCTGAGCCTGCAGGACTGGAAGCTGTGAGCCCAACAGGAAGAGTGTGCTGGGGGGAGGGGCAGAGGCTGCAGGCAGCAGGCTCAGGCTGGGGTGCACAGAGAGGAGGAGTGAGTGGGCAGGTGCCCTCACCTGTAATCCTGAAGCTGAGGCACTGGCCGATGGAGCTGCTGGGAGCCTAGGTCCTTGGAGTGGGGGTCAGTCTCTGAGAGTGTGGCTAAGACAAAGTGGCCGTCCAACACAGAGTCCTTGATGGTGAAGATGGCTGGTCTGGGCAGGGGACAGGGGCCCCAAGCTAGGTCATTCCACTGAGCTCCTGGCATCCCAGGGCCCTCCCCCTCCCTTGTCCCAAGACTGGGAATTACCTGCCTGGAGCATCAAAATGAATGCTAAGATTCAAGTTTGCTGACTCTGCAAAGCTCAGGAGCCCCTGGGAGGGAAGAGGCAGGGTGGTGAGGCCCCGGGCTGGGGAGGGAGGACAGAGCAGTGAGTGCATGGCGGGGAACCTCACCCGGAATTCCTTGAGGCAGAAAGTGACAGACACCCCTTCTTGGGCCTGCAACTGCTGGAAATCCTCCTCCCCAATGCTCATCTCAGTCATCATGGCCTTGACGGTGCTGTCTGTGGGGGCAGGAACAGGAGGAACCTAGGAACCTGGGCCCCACCCCTCCCATCCTCAGCTCTGCTGTCCCAGGCCACCCTGGCTCCTCACCTGCCTCCTCCTCCTCCTGGTAGCTGCGCAGGATGACCCTGCGGCCACGGCCAATACCCAGTGTCACTTCAGCCAGTGCAGGAGGGAAGGGCAGAACAGCCTCCCCCAGGACCCTGTGAGGGGGGCAGAGCATTACACAGAACTGGTCCTGCCTGGGGGCTCTGCTTCCAGAGGACCGGAGGCAGGGTGGTGGCCATGCACGTGCATAGGCCTAGCATGCCCTGGGAAGGCGAGGACAGAATGAGCAGGATGTGGTCCCTGCTCTGTCAGAAGTTCCCAAGGTGTGAGAGAGAAGGGATAAGGCAGACAAGAGGACAAGAACATAGCCCAGAGCAGGCAGTAGGGAGGATAGGCTGGCTGCACCTGGCCACGCAGAGGTGGGACTCCACACTCACGCCATCCCTACCAACCCAGCCTTCAGAAAGAGCCCTTACATTTTTGTCTTCTAAGGATACACACTGCTATAAAGAGAAAGTAACATCTGGAATTTGCCTCAAGTTAATTGCGGACAAGAGCTGGCATCTGCTTTTATACATATTTGAAACTATCCACGAGAAAAAGAAACAATTGCTCATTTAAAAAAAGAGAAAAAATAGGCCGGGCGTGGTGGCTCACGCCTGTAATCCTAGCACTCTGGGAGGCCAAGGCGGGAGGATCGCTTGAGGTCAGGCGTTCGAGACCAGCCTTAGCAAGAGCAAGACCCCGTCTCTACTAAAAATAGAAAGAAATTAGCCAGACAACTAAAAATATATAGAAAAAATTAGCCGGGCATGGTGGCGCATGCCTGTAGTCCCAGCTACTCAGGAGGCTAAGGCAG